CCCCCCTATCCCAAGGGTAGTGCTGTATCAAGCCCTGCTTATCCATCAACAAAAAGCTGACTCCAAGAAACCCCGAACTACAGCACCTTCCTAGGCGACTGCTACTTCCCTCTCTCGCGCGAGCATGCACGTGCCAAGGAAGGCGCCTATTTCGCCTACTACATCACACGATGGAAATACGTCAACGAAGGACTCGAGACGCCGCCTCTCGCGATTTGCGTGGTAAGCTTTTCCTCCACCTCCACCTCCCCTCCCTCCCAACAATCAAATCCCCCATCGACCAGCAGTAATCTTATTCAAGATTCTCCCAGTGTAACAACAAGCGCGGCCGAGAAGGCATCGCCCGCTACGAGATCCCCCCGCTCCTCCTCCAAGCCTGGATGAACACGAAGCTCGAAACCGGGGGTCTCGACGACCAGACCGCGTACGTCCTGAGCCAGCAGGGCTGGGACCTCCGGTTCGTCAAGGCCACCATGCCGGTCCACGAAGCGCAGCGGCTCGGAAGGTTTCCGCACTTCTCCGGGAAGGTCAGGGTGGAGCGGACGAAAGCGTACAATCTGCGGGATCCCGGGGAACGGAGGGAAGCGCTGCGGGCGCTGATGGGTTTACTGCTTTATTTTCATGATCGTCCGGAGTTTGTGTATGCGAATACTCAGAGTGGTTATATTTTTGTTTGAATTTTCGATGAAGCTGATTCTTGGAGGGAGGAGTTCTGCGGGATGTGGTTTGATCATTGGGGCTGTTTTGGTTTCGGTCAGGATGTATATAGATTGTGGGTTATGGTTGTATACCACACTTTGGGTATGAACGTGCAACGAATTGCATTTCATGTATTTCAAGCTATCATATAGCAGGTGTTGTAGCTGTGCGAGATGTTGTAGTAATTTTCTATTGATATTAAGAATGGAAGACCACCATTGTTAGACCACTCAAGATGCACACTGCATAATATCGAGGTGGGTTACACGAAGACACAGTCGCAGAATACAGTTTATTGGCCGGACAGAACAAGCAAATAACGAAGTCGCATATTCATAACTCATAAGTCATAAGATACAACAATGGTATTAAACCAACGAAGGTCACACTCTACCGCTGCACACCGGGGATAGCACCCGCGGCACTCTTGGTGCCAGCGGCCAGCGAAGAGCCCGCCGACTGGACGCCCGAGTACAGTCCCTGGCCGGCACTTTTGGAGCCCTCGACGACGGGGTCCGTGACACCCCCCAGCGAACCGCCATACGACCCATTCTCATCCTTCCCCTTCCGCTCGGCGCGATTGATGCCTTCCTTCGAGACGGCGTTGCCCACCGGCGACAGCAGCCCGTTCTCGCCCAGCTGGTTGCCCACGAGGTTGTGCACGTCGTCCTGGATCTGATCGACCTGCTTGACGCCCGTGACCTTGGTCTTGTTTAGGTTGTCTGCCATGATGGGTAAGGTTAGTTGTGTTTCGACCGGCGTGATTGTGATAGAGAGGGATGGAGGACTTACCTTTCGTGACATACGAGGCCTTGTTGTCCCCCTTGCCAAACCACTTGAGGTACTGGTCTTCCAGCCAGGGCATCCACTTCTCGTACTGGTCGTTGTAGACCTCCTGCACCCACTCGGCGTAGGTCTGCTTCTTGCGCTCTTCCTCCGGCAGGTTGTTGTAGATGTGGCGTTGTTGTTCTTCGGTGTGCCGGCGGGGCTGGCTGGGGCGGCCGAGGGCGTTGTTGACGGAGTCCATTTTGGGAAGGTGTGGATTGGTTTGTATGTGATGAGATAGGGACAGCAAAGTGAAAGTTGTGTGCTTGCGCCTGAGGATGAAGCTGTAAAGATCTAGTGTTCTGATTTCGAACTTGTAAGGCGAGTAAGAAGTTTTATAGTTGGCAAGCCACGGCTGACGCATGCCATGACGTCTGTGGATCTGGCGCAGATGAGCCCAAGCCGGCGCTGTCAATGCTTCATCCAACCGTATGACAGGGTCGAGGTTCTGGAAGCCGCGTGAGTGCAGATCGTTCTGATATCAATGTCATTGAGGATGGGGGATGAGGGCCGCGACCGGTGACGTCACATGGCTATGTGGCTCGTGCGCACAGCGCCACGGCTCTGGGGCATGTGACAGGGACATCCATCATTATTCTGTTTGCTCTGTTTGTTGATGTCAATTGAAGAAAAGTAGCTTGTGCTTGATGCATGAGTGCAGGCTGCTGCTGCCTGGGGAGGACTGATGGTGTTGGTCGCCAGCAAAAGTTAATGCATAAGGTAGATCTGTGGGTACGCCTCAAAGGATCAGCCAAAACAATCACGAGCACTAGCCATTGGGCGACCGGTGGACTCATGTAGGTAGGTTAACATGAGACAGATATTTAACAACCTCAGCATGTCGCCTCCTCACTCTTCTCATCTCTTTAGCAATTGCATAGATTCCCCTTCCTTTTAGACTCGAAAATTCAAAGAGTGAGGCTGTCGATGGAAAATAAAAGTTGCATCGGCTGTTGACGCGACAGATGGGACCACCCATGTTGTTCCAATTGAGTTGCATATCAGACCTCCTTAGCGTCGCCTCAATGTGGATTCAAGCAGACCAAGGCTGCGAACACGTAGTCAAGCTCGACAAAACCACACCCAATAACATGTCCATATTTTTAGAATAATTGGTAGTTCGCTGTGAGGTGGCCAGTTCAACGTTGCGACCAGACCGCCCTTTGATCGGGTCTCACACACACAACCCGCATATCGGCGGGGAGTGAGCGAGAGGGGTTCAAAGTCCGTCTGTTTTCCCTTTCCCTCTTTTTCTTCTTTGATTTTTCGTTTGTGTATGCATCCTGTGCGATAGACGGGGAAGAGGGGTTTGGGTAAGTCGTCAACTGTGGGTTTGGGGTTTTTTTACAAGGAGTATATCGTTGCAAAGCAATGCCGTTCTTTCCTCTGTTACTTGTTTTGGCGGGTCTGACTCTATTCCTTTCGCGACGTCGGTATAAGGCCATCGAAGCCGCGAGTGGTGGGAGTCCTCGAAGTCCTCATGTCGTTGTCAAGGGCCACACGTACTCCGATAGTGTAGAGGGGATCGAGCTGCGACCGCTACCGAGTACGAAGATCGAGAACGTGCGTAGTGCATGTATCATCGGGGCGGGCCATGTGGGTGAGTACAAAGTAACATAGAATCTATTGTCCTGATGGACTCAAAGAGCTTACCCATGTTCAAAAGGAGCATTGACTGCCATCATCCTGGCGTCGCAGAACCCCCACGTCCAATTCTGTGTGGTCGATCGAGATGCGAGTCTCATTGAGGCTTGGAAATCGGATCGTCCTCCTATCCTTGAGCCGGGGCTAGAGGATTTGCTCTTCGACGACCCTCCCGTGTTTGCGATGGAGGCATCCAGCCTCCCGGAAGAAGCGAAGGTGAATGATTTGAGCCAAAATAATGATGCTGAGAGAACGCGACGACAAAGGAAGTTGGCCAACCTCGCCTTTTCCACCAATATCCATGCGGGAGTGGTTTCCGCAGATCTAGTCTTTCTTTGTGTAGAATGTTCTCCAGATACACCGGTGAGACCAACAGATGGACGTCACAAGAAATAGGACTAAGTACTGACAATGGACTGCAGTCGGAGACCAAAGAAGGAATCAACCTCGCGCCGCTTGAGGCCGCAATCCAAGCGATCGCCCAAGTATCGACCGGGCACAAGATCATCGTGCAGAGGAGCACAGCGCCGTGTGGCATCGTCCAGCGCATAAAAAAAGCTGTCAGTAAACAGACACCGCACTGAAGCACTCCCCCAAACTGCTACCTAGTACGGAGACTGACACCCCCAATTTCATGATGACAATATATAGCTACGCAAAACCGCATCCCCAACAGCCACCTTCGACGTCCTGTCGAACCCGGACTTTCTGATCCCCGGCACGGCCATCCGCGACCTACTCTACCCGCCTCGCGTCCTGATCGGCCACATCTTCTCCGAGGACATGTCCGTCGAGGCCATCACCGCGCTAAAGCGCCTCTACCTGCCCTGGGTCCCCGAAGAGCGCCTGATCACCATGGACGCCTGGTCCGCGGAGCTGGGCAAGCTCGCGGCCAACGCCTGCCTCGCGCAGCAGATCAGCAACGTCCAGTCCCTGAGCGCGATCTGCGAGTCCACCAACGCCAACATCGCCCATATCACTCAGACACTGGGGCTGCCACCGCGCGTAGGGCTGGGGTTTGGGGGCGGTACAGACTCCCACACGGAGATCCTGTGCTTGATCTATCTTGCAAGGGAGCTGGGCTTGCACCCCGTCGCTGAGTATTGGAGGGCGGTGCTCCAGATGAACGAGTTCTACCACAGCCGCACCGCGAAGCGAGTCACGGAGCGGTTCACGGGAGAGCTGAAGGACCACCGGGTGGCGATCTTGGGTTTCGCGGGGGGGAAGACTTGCGCGATTCGGGATCAGTCGTCTACGGCGGTAGGATTGGCGCGCGACTTGATGAGCATCGGGGTGCAAGTGACGGTCTTCGATCCTCGGATCCCGGGTGATCAGCTGCGGAGTGCGCTACGTCTCGCGGACGCATCCCTGGAAGCAGTCACAATCGTTGACTCGGTCGATGCGGCTTGTCAGGGTTGCAGTGGGCTGATACTGCTTATGGAGTATGATGAGTTCAGCCACGAGCAGGTGCGGTGGCAGGGCATTGCTGGGCAGATGCAGGGTCCGAAGGTGTTTCTGGATCTCTGTGGAGTGCTTGATCGGTTCAAGATGCAGCAGTGGGGGTTTGATATGCTCCAGCTTGGGGTGAGGCAGAAGGACGCTCATTGATTATGATGATTTTGATGACGGGACGATGTACAGAACGAAGGATGGAGTACAACTGATCATGGAATCTTTGGACTGGTGCTCTTTGCGTGTGGGTTCGTTATGCGGGAGTTGGAGAGGATGCTGGATAGTTTAATTATTGTAATACTTACTAGGGTTTCGCCGGTGGCTAGCTAAAGATTGTTTATACACATATACAAGGTCAAGGCAGAAGTCACTGGGCGAGGAGGTATACAACGGTACTTTCAAAGCTCTTAATCGAGGCTTGGCGCTGATCCATGGACGTGACTACCACGGCTACGATGCTGAAGACTGCACTTGTGTACTAGTACTAGTAGATGCATATATTCCAGTGACGACTCGCTCGATCATGATTAAACTCAAGTACTTTTTTCTATACACTATTCAAGCACCTTATGCCAGTACTACCGGATCTTGTAGACGCATGGCTTAAGAACAGCCGCTTCTTCAGCAGCGGACATGCCCTTGTCGGACGAGCGGTCGATGAACCGCTTCTTGCCAGGGCCACCGGCACCAGCGCTGGGGGCGGCGGAGCCAGCATGTTTGCCCTTGGTGGGGGCGCCACCGGCCTTCACAAACTCCATCTTGACGAACATCTTGTTCGACTTATCAAGAGTCTCCTGCTTGAGAATGAAGCCTCGCGTCCGGAAGACCTCCACGAAGGCCGAGATATCCGTCTCATCATCGTTGTTGGCGGGACGAGCGTCCTCCGCGTAGATTTCGTTGTCGGAGACATCCGAGTCCGCGTTGTCCGCCGACTGCTTCTTCTTGAGCTTCTTCTGCTCCGCCTTGCTGAGCGGCTTCTTGGCGCCGATCTGCGCCTTCTTGCGGGTAACCTTGCCGAATCGGCTCTTCACTTCGCTGACCCAGCATTCGCCCTTGC